TTGATTAGAATACGTTTCTTTGAATTTAAAATGTCTACATACCGTAACAATTAATTAGATATTACCAGTAGGCATATGCTAAGCTAATTGATCGTGCGCTAATCGTCAATAGATTTTATCTAATTTTTCACGGCTTAATGTACGATAAATTGTTCTTAGATTGATTATTTAACATTTAATTAAGAAAACTAGAATCTAAACCAAAATAGACCATCAACGGAATATGTAGATATTTTCTAGCTTGAATTTAATTGGATTTAAAAGAGGCCCATCCAAAGATTGACCAATATTTAAAGGTTTACACTGGCGTGTTTATATCGTTTGCATTAGATGCCGAACGATGATAAATTTTCAATCCACCATATCTTTTTAAATACTGAACCGAACTGAAACGTTTTTGGACTGATATTCCTTTAACCGATTTAAATTTCACAGGGATTTTAATAATGACCAAGGCGTCACACATGAGGGGTCCGGGGGGGTCCCCCCCCCCTGTTTTTCGGGGTGGGGGTCTGAATCTACTTGACCCCCCCCCTCCTAAAAAAAATACCTAGTAGGCTCTAACTCCTATTTATTTACAACAATTATTAGGATTAGTTAAGATTCTATCTGTATAAAACCTGTACATTAGGGTGTTTCATATTTGAACTTGAAAAAGTCGGAAAAAATACTGCCCGTTACAGTAGAAAGATAAAACGTGGCACAATGCATCGAAAAGGCACAGAGATGTTCTGCGATTTATTTCAGAATTTTAGCATCAAAATTCAGGAGGTTTGCAATTTGGCATTTTTTAGAAAAAAATCTTTTTCTGTAGAATTTGTTAAGACCATGATGAATAAACTCTACCAAAATGTCATAAACAAACCTATCTACGCAAGTGGAGATTAATAAAGAACTAAATTAGTTATACGGGTTGTCCTCGATGAATATTTGATCATACAAGAGAGACAGAAACCATTCAAATAATCACAAAAGTCATTTAATAATCCAGACGAGCCAAAGTGTGTTTCATATAGTCAGGAAATTTGGTGTGATGCAGTTGAGTTGTGATGTTACAGTCATTTAACATTGAAGTCAATGGGCAAATAATTGCTAGTCTGAGCCCATACGCAGAACAGAGTTGTCTTTCCTTGGGAGAAGTTATTGTTGATGATTTCATACCTCTTTTAGGCTCCGCCCACATGTCATAAAAAGATAATGCAGTCGAGATAAAACACGTTCGCTAATGCAATGTAGAAGTTACTAAAACGAAGATGTAATGTAGATAGTGAAATGTAGAAGATGCCAAGACAATTATGCTTTGTTCAATGTCGAAAGTGAAAAGACATTGCACGTATCATTTTAGGTATTGCGTCGATTGTTTTATGTAAAGTAACATTTGTATTTTGAATTAGCGGTATCATGACATAAGTAATAGAGGTATTTTGTATTGCAAAAGCAGTATTAGACATAAGTATATAACATCTAATTCTGAATACGATTGACCTCCATATCTTTGTGCCTTTTCGATGCATTGTGCCAAGTTTTATCTTTCTACCGTAACGGGAAGTATTTTTCTGACTTTTTCAAAAATTTCATATTTGTCGAAAAATTCTGGGAAAATTATAATATTCTCTGGTGATGAGTTTGGACCCAATTGGAAACGCATGGCACATGGTAGAGTTCAATCGCGAAAAAAAGTTCAAATATGAAACACCCTACTGTACATATCCCAATATGTTGGTTTGATGTTTTAGTTTAACCCCGTAAAATATGCCAAAACAGTGTTTACAGAAGACTGAAACTTAAACAAATTTTATGGGGGTGACCCTCCCACTCTCTCCCTATCACGCTACATCAGCTGCTGTGTAGCCTCGTGCCTCCGGCGTCACAGATTGTCAACATTTTATATACATGTAATTTCATTTGCGGATCCCCCCCCCCACCCAATATATATTTTACGGCTACGCCCCTGATAATGACAGCCATGTTGATTTTCCAACTTGTGCACCCGAACACGACAAGTGTGGTATTTACTACTTCTTAGTGGGAAACACGATATTTCCAAGCGGTAACGAATACAGCATTTAAGTTGTTTAATGGTCTCGAGCTTAAGACATTGCTAGCCGGATATGGATAGTGTGTTGACAAGGCGTGAATTGGATGTGGGCGTGGCCTGCCTGTTTTTGTACGCCGTACAATCGCCATGATCTTTCTACAACTTGAAAACAAGTATGGCGATAATTTAGGGTGTTAATTTTTTTTATTTGATTATTTCTGTAGTTTTGTAATCGGAGTTCAGCTTTAAATTCTCGCTCTCGACCATTAAAAAATACCGAATAGGATTTTACTAGTTGTGTATAGTAATTGTGTAATTAACTTAGTGATTACCACTCAAACACATTTCTGTCATTATTTCTATATCGCAGTTCACAAATGTATAACAATTATTATTATTACAATGTTTATTAAAGATGGGTTCCCAGAAAAGTATTCATCGGGTGGTTATTTCCAATAAAAGTATGGCAATTTTGGTATATATGGAAAGTAGAGATATCCAATCTTACTAGAAAAATACTGGATTCCCCGAAAAACACTCATGGAGCGTATACAGGACAAAAATGTAAGGGTTCCCCTAATCAACAGCCCGACGATTAGGAACTTCTGCACGCGTGATGTCAAAGGTCACAAGCGAACATTGAGCGCTTGATGTACAAGTTGATAAACTTTATGAAGAGTTGGACGCACAATACTTTCTGAGATAAAAATGACGAAAAAAGACGCGGGTAGTGGATAATCCGAGAATTTAATCAGGATTCGATATTTGTAATAAATAGTAAGCGATTAAAGACAACATCGTCTTATGTATGCAATGAATTCTCCTCTTACTCCCAAGACGTGACGTAAACATGACCTGGTTTGTTCGAATTTTAATAGCAGGGCATTCCGTCGCAATTACAATGTTTAGTTTAAAAAATATTTTATTCGTTTGAAAAGGATTGAACAACAGGCAAAGCCTATATAAGTTCTTTCCCAGGGATACAGAAAATAATAAACGATAAATATGACATATACATAAAAATAAAATTAAATATAATAAATTGTAAAACCGAACATATATACAGTTTCATGTGGAAATGATATATACGATGCAATTTTTTGATATTATATAACAATATTATGTAAAAGCGAATCAAAACCTTTGAGTACTTTTAATAAAATAATGGACTGCTTCAATAATCAAGATATTGGAGGTGTTCGAAAGATTTGTAGAGCCATTTAAAATTAGATCTAGATTAATAGTTTCTGTGAATACATTTAATGAATTGAATAGTTCGATTCTGATAGCTGAATAAGATGGACAAGAGAAGAAAAAGTGGAAATTATGTTCATCCGAAGAATTGCATTTTGGACATTTTTTTGATTCAGATAGGTAGTGGTGGAAAAGATGATTATTGAGATTACTAGATTTATTTCTTAACTGACAGTGAATGATATTTTCCATACGGTTTCCATAATGAAAGTAACTAGGTTTTTTATGTATAGGATACTGACAATGTTTGAGAGGGATTTGAAGCATAAATATGACAAATTAATTAGTTTGAATATGTCTTGGTCCATATATACCATTAAATCACCCAGTTTGTACGCTGGAACCCATCTTTAATCTGGATGAATAGAATTATATTATTTGTGTACAGTAAATATGTAATTAACTTAGTGATTACCATTTATCTATAACCACTAATTATGTTAACCCCAATCTATTCTCTCTTATAATCAGCTTATAAATTGTTGACCCTGAGGTCTTCTCTTCCCTTACGCAAATGAAGTGACGACACCACCCACATGAAGTGTGAATGACACTGGACTGTTTGAAGTGAAAAATTTGATATCCGAAGTGTTCATTTTTACCACCCTTCAAAAAACACACTTCAAGGCAGAAATGATGTTGAAATGACGATAACACCATATCAAATATGCAAATTAGGCTTCGACTAGGTGTACATTTCATGAACATTTCAATTATTAACTCACTTGTGAACACTTCAACAACGGGTTATCTACACTTCAACCGAGTGCTTATAGGGTGGGTTTTTTTTCACTTCGACCGGGTGCTGATAAGGTTTTTTGCTTACTTCAACCTTGTGCTTATCGAGTGTTTTTCTCACTTCAACCCAGTCCTTATCGAGTGTTTTTCTCACTTCAATCAAGTGCTTACCGAGTGTTTTGCTCACTTCAATCAAGTGCTTACCGAGTATTTTGCTCACTTCAACCTAGTGCTTATCGAGTGTTTTTCTCACTTCAATCCAGTGCTTACCGAGTGTTTTTCTCACTTCAACCCCCGTGCTTATCGAGTGTTTTTCTCACTTCAGCCCAGTGCTTATGGAGTGTTTTCTCACTTCAATCCAGTGCTTATCGAGTGTTTTGCTCACTTCAACCCGGTGCTTATCGAGTGTTTTGCTTACTTCAACCCAGTGCTTGCCGGAGGCATTTCTCACTTTAACCAGTGCTTATCAGGTGCTTTTCTCACTTCAACCAGTGCTTTTCGGGTGTTTTTCTCACTTTAACCCAGTGCTTATCGGTTGTTGTTATCACTTCTACCCAGTAAGGTTGCAGAACTCAACAGTGTGAGGCTTATATCACAAACCAGGTGGGGAGAGGAGGGGGGCGCTGTATTTGATTGCAGTGTTGGTCATGAAGGTTACTCCACCTACCAGGATTTGCTGCACCGTTCGCCTGATCTGTGGATCTAGGGCCTTGCAAAGGACGGTGTTTGATTGTGATAGTGATTGGGCTGAAAAGCCAAAGTTCTTTGTAGAAATTGTTGTCCACGTAAAAAAAACCTGTGTAATTAAAAGAGGACAATTCAGAAAAGCCACATCCCTCATGGCACACTCAATTATCCCAGCTATGCTGAAAAGCAGCAAACATGAAACAAAATAACACTTTGACATTGATTATTTTCTACTATTTTCAAAATATCACAACACAAATGATACAATTAACAAGAGGTTGCCATCTAAGATACATCAACATTTTGCAAGATTAATATTAGACGAATCTTAGCAGACATTGAGGTTGATATTAAACTATTACAATACAATTGCTAGTAATATATTTAAATAAAATAGTCATTTAGAATCGTATTTTGACGTGGACTATATTTCAGCCGCTGACTGTAAGATTTCACGCTAAAGTCACGTAACCTGAAACCCCTAATATGAGTAATAAAACAGATACATGTAGGCTATATTGTGAAGTTGTAAAAATTTTGATAAGAAGTACAAAATTAAGATAACAGAGAATCCCCAATCATATAAAGGGCAATATTCAATCTGCAAATTTTTTATTTAATTAAACATAGTTAAATCTCAAAAAGTGCAACGTAATCACTTAAAAAAAACCACAACGGCAACAAATAACGAACGAGAGAAGTATTAGTTTCAAGCCAATCAACTTAGATCCGTTGATCGTGTAACTACTGATCACTAAAACAACAGCTAATCACGGTAACAAGTACGTTTATTCATGATAAAACTTTAACCAAATACGTAATACTCTTTCCTCAACTGATCAGGAACCATCTCACAACACCGGAAGTAGATATAGTTTCATTGTAAACGCTAACATCAGTTTCGGACATGCGCAAGTGCCCAGAAGCAAACACACACCGGGAGTCAATTCAAACTGTCACACCGGCACTAGTGGATTATTAATTTACAACCCCTGAAAAAATAAAGTCGAAAAAAATTCACCTTTTTTTCAAGTACTGGTACAGCGTACCGCAGTTTAAATTTACCGAAAACAACTTTAATCATTCAAAAGTCTAGTTATGTTATAAATTTATTTCCTAAACAAAATGTTGAATTATGTATCAAAACATTGTTTTCCAATATCTTAACAATTTTCCCTCGCAATGTCCATATTATACATTGCCTTGAGACTTGGATCAAAGCAACGAGAGAGAGAGAGAGAGAGAGAGAGGGGGGGCTTTAACGTCCACTCGACACAAACTAGGTCATTTCGGGACTAACATATGGTTTTAATTTTATTTCAATAATTCGCTTGTGCGTATGGGTCTTTAGCAGTGGGAGGAAACCGGGGGTTGAGACAGGCGACCTACTACTTGTCACGTACAAGCGAAGATTCGAAACCACGCCAGTTGACTCAATGACAGGCCTTATGATAGAGCAAGCACGTGCTAATCATTCGGCCATCCAAGCCCCCTAGAAGCAACGAACGACATGTATATCTGACATCTGGGTCACAGTAATGACTGTCCTAGAATGTTTCAAAATATAAATAATTAATGTTTTTCTCTTAGACTTTTAAAGTTTGCTTGTCGTGAAATAACTGTTCTTTATTTACATTTCTGGAATAACCTAATACTTGTTATTTATTGTAGGCCTATTCGTTATTGAACGTCACAAAAAAATAAATAGGTCAACAGTGTTTTTAAATCCTTTATAGCCATTTTGATAATAATAATAGGCGATTTTAATTACAGCTGTAACGTTTCCTTGAAGGGGTAACCACGTTTGGGGTATGGGGAGCTTGGTATCTTTGCCAACAGTGATCAATTCCTGGCTGATCACGAGCCACAGGTAAACGGAACTTCGGAAGGGTGTGTAAGGACCAGCTAAAAAGTGGTCAGTAACGGTGTTTTGCTGAAATTAAGATAAGCTTCACCGTAGTGTGGTAGTGTATATTTGTGTATATTTGTATTTACTGTATCTTGAGTATTTTAAATATATGTATATAGTGTAAACTATTACTATTCTTGATTTTTATACATTTCTTTATGTCTTTCAGAGTTTTTTTTATCTGTATACTAAATTGATGATCCACAATAAAATCCTGAACCGATGACCTGGTGTTTTCTTCGTCTTTGTGAAAAGAACCCCGCTACAGTAGGAATAAGACAAGACTCATTCAGTTTTCAAACCTTTAATTATGTAACAAAAACTTTCAATATATATATATATATATATATATATATATATATATATATATATATGATCAGTATTTACAGCTTCAATGCGTTTATTTCTGTTTAACTGTCCTTTATCGGGCGAACAGCGTTTACCGTACTCAAAAAGTGTCTTGACTTTTTCAGCCGAATACGTACTGGTTCTTGAATCTGCAAGTGTCTACTTTTTCGGGCTAACATCATACGCCGTACTTGCTCTTGAAGATGGGTTCCCGTGTACAAACTGGGTGATTTAATGGCATATATGGACCAAAAACATATTCAAATTAATTAATTTGTCATAATTATGCTTCAAATCCTTCTCAAACATTGTAATTGCGAAGGAATGCCCTGCTATTAAAATTCGATCAAACCAGGTCATGTTTACGTCCCGTCTTGGGAGTCAGAGGAGAATTCATTGCATACATAAGACGATGTTGTCTTTAATCGCTTACTATTTATTACAAATATCAAATCCTAATTAAATTCTCGGATTATCCACTACCCGCGTCTTTTTCCGTCATTTTTATCTCAGAAAGTATTGTACGTCTAACTCTTCATAAAGTTTATCAACTTGTACATCAAGCGCTCAATGTTCGCTTGTGTCCTTTGACATCATGCGTGCAGAAGTTCCAAATATCGTCGGGCTGTTGATTAGGGGAACCCTTACATTTTTGTCCTGTATACGCTCCATGAGTGTTTTTCGGGGAATTTAGTATTTTTCTAGTAAGATTGGATATCTCTACTTTCCATATATACCAAAATTGCCATACTTTTATTGGAAATAAACGCCTGATAAATCCTTTTCTGGGAAACCATCTTTAAGTCTGCAACTTGTTGCTATCCTAGAGGGGCAAGGACCTCTTTCGTGAGATGAGGCTCTATGCCATCGGAACACAGCTTGCTGGCATCAACATGTTCAGCTATGATCGTCAACCGCAGTCCCAGAGATTAGTCTTCAATGCAAGTTCCAGCCAGCATAATGTACTGTATCTGTAAGAGACATTTTATTCCTACTGGCGGTTTACAAATATTGCATTCAAAAATTCAAATCATAAGAATATAAACGAGACTAATACACAGCATCATATTGATTATAACAGAATAATGTATATATTGGTTACACTATATATATATATGATAAAACATCAATCATTAGATGATAATAATTATTTACTAATTATATAAATCATTTTAACAGGTAGGAGTTATCTTTTACCCTAATCTAAAAATAATTTCCCTGGTTTGAAAGGTATGGACAATTAAGGTATTTAAAGAAATGATTACGAGCCATAGAGTTATATAAATTTATAGTGTTACGAGTGAACATAACACTATAGACTTCTATGATAAAACATATAATACATGTTTAATATGGACACAGCTCACCAAATATTTCTACGCCGTCACCCACGAATGTAGGGCAAAAGTTATTTTTAGTCTTTCTCTCCCTTTCCCCCTTTTGCGTGGCGATTTTTGTTGACTTTTTGGTGTAGAATCGAAGAAAAGGGTTTGAAAATACATTTTCTACCAGGTTTTGGTGACTATTCATGATTTTGAGGCGGAAGGATACAAGAGTTGAGAGGTTGGTTAGGTTGAAATGTAGGGTCCAAAATTGCAGGTTTTCTTGTCTCTACTTCCAGCTTGTGTATCTCAAGTTTTCCATGGTGAACCTCATACGTGCTTTTGGGCAAGAGGTTGCCACATGCTGCTCCAACTGTGGTAGAAAGCGTTCTACCCAACGAAAATTTGGGAAAAAGTTAGAGCCGGTCTAAGAGACGAGAATTAACATTAAAGTCAATGGGCAAATGTTTAGTGATCTGTGGCCATATATATATATATATATATATATATAAATGACAATGTCCTACGCTAACAAATAATGAAATATGATAGTATTAGTAAATATAAAAAAACCCAAATTAGTCTCGAACATCCTAGCTCTTTACTGCTTCACAGCAGACCTACTATTAAAAATTTAGTTTAAGATGTTGTACATCTCTATATTCATTTAAAAAACAACTTAAAAGCACATATTTAAACAGGATTCTACTGGCCCTGTATAAATAGTAGCCTATACCATGGACCTTATAATACAACTGTTAACATTGTTTGGGGTTTTTTTTGTATTGTCACTGTAAAGTTCCCCTGAGCACTATATAAATATACTGTAATAATAAACAGAAATAATAATAATAAGCAAATTTTAGCATTGTCTAAATGCCAAAATTTTTTGTTATCTTTTTATATTTCTTCCAAAGCAAATGTTAAAGGAGCTAAATCGCTAATATTTGGGACCTAGAAATTGACACAAATGGGTCGCAACGCATATAATTAATGCAACATGAATGTATATAAACTGATTTACATTAATCGTTTCTGTTTTTACTGTAATTTCTAATCAGTTATGTTCGGCGGAATACGCCAGAAATCTCAATTGAATGACAATCTTTAGCGTTTGGGTATTCCATTCTACACCGATGGTATTTATTGTGCATGCTGGATTACGTCACCATTTGATATGACTTGTGGAATATGTCTAGCCTCGTTCTTTGAGCTCATTTTTTCCCTGTAAGATCACAACACCAATGTTTATTTGAATGGACAAATAATTTGTGTTTTCAATGTCGAAGATTTTTGATGATATTGAGTTAGTGACTTAGCTACTTTAATTATTGTATCAAATCATTGTTTTTCAATATTTTAACTTGTCATGAATTATAGTTTCTGAAATTTCAATGTCATTGAAAATATGATAACGGTGTAGGGCCTACTGGGTTTTTTTTAAAATGATAGATTCTCGTAATTTTAATATAGACTATAGACCTACTTGATGTCTTTTTGAGACTAACATATGGTTCAATTTTATTTCAATAATTTGCACATGCGCATAGGGGTCTTTAACAGTGGGAGGAAACCGGAAGACCCAGAGAAAACCTACAAGGTTGGACAGGCGACTACTCATTGTCATGTAAGTGGAAAATTGAAACCAATCCAGTTGACTCAATAACAGACCTTATGATACAACACGCACGCACACGCTAACCATTCAGCCATCCAGCCCCCCACCCCACAACCCAGTATTATCAAAAGTTTACATAGGTGCATTGGAATGTTAATTTATGGTATCAAAACCAAAGTTTCTCGGTATTCAATAATAAATCTGTTCAAATACTGAAAGAGAAATTTTCAATAGGGCCAACAGTAACTTTTTATATTGTCGTCGCGCCTGTCCGTCCGTCCGTCCACAATTGTTTGTGAACACTCTACAGGTCACAATTCTTATCCGATTTTGACGAAACTTGAAATATAGGTTTATCTCCAAAAGATCTCGGTTGCTTTCGATAATGGCATATCAGACCGAAAATTCATGGATTATGGCCCCTAATTGTACGAAAAATCACGTTTTTAGCTTGTGGACCTTATAGAGGTCATAATTTTTATCCGATTGCCAGGCAACAAAACATACGCCCACAGCAGCTAAATCGTCCGAGCGGTCGTCAAGGGTTGTCGCATATTTATTCCTTTGTAGGTAATTGGGAGCCTTTACAAGACAGTTCCATACAGATCAGATTATAAATTTTGGCATTTGAGGGTTTACAAGGTTCTACAAACTGAAACAAGGGTCTCAACTCTGGAACTAATCTGCAGAAATTGTTGAAATTTGACAGGATCAATAAAGTGAAACAAGGGCCATAACTCTAGACGTAATAAACGGAAATTGCCAAAATTCGATAGGCTTCTTCGTTTCAGTAACCTAAAAAATGCATATAAATTTCAGAAAGATCGGATGATAACTTTTGACGTTAGAGCGTTCACAAGGATCAATAAAGTGAAACAAGGGCCATAACTCTAGACATAATAAACGGGAATTGCTGAAATTCAATAGGCTTCTTCGTTTCAGCAATCTAAATAATGCATATAAATTTCACAAAGATCGGGTGATAACTTTTGACGTGAGAGCGTTCACAAGGATCAATACAGTGAAACAAGGGCCATAACTCTAGACGTAATAAACGGAAATTGCCAAAATTCAATAGGCTTTTTTGTTTCAGTAATCTAAATAATGCATATAAATTTCACAAAGATCGAATGATAACTTTTGGCGTTAGAGCGTTCACAAGAAATTGTGGACAACGGACGGACCAACGGCAATATACGTCCACAGTTCAGTTTCGTAAAGATAGATTGCCAGGCAACAAAACATTCACCCACAGTAGCTAAATCGTCCGAGCGGTCGACAAGGGTTGTCGCATATTTATTCCTTTGTAGGTAATAATCAGATCAGATTATAAATTTTGTCGTTTGAGGGTTTACAAGGTTCTACAAACTTAAACAAGGGTCTCAACTCTGGAAGTAATCTACAGAAATTGTTGAAATTTGACAGGCTTTTTCGTTTTACTAATTTAAATAATGCATATAAATTTCATACAGATCATATGATCACTTTTGTCGAACTACAAACTGAAACAAGGGTCTCAACTCTGGAAGTAATCTACAGAAATTGTTGAAATTTGACAGGCTTTTTCGTTTTACTAATTTAAATAATGCATATAAATTTCATACAGATCACATGATCACTTTTGCCATTCAAACGTTCCCAATCGCCATAACTCTAGAAATTATTGACGGAAATTGCTGAAATTCAATAGACCTGTACTTTCACAAATTTAAATGATGCATAAAAATTTCATACATATCGAATGATAACTTTCATCAATTGAGCATTAACAAGGTTTAACAAAGTAAAACAAGGGCAAAAACTCTAGAAGTACTTACTGTAAATTGCTGAAATTTAATAGGCTTTTTCGTTCACAAGGATCAATAAAGTGAAACAAGGGGCATAACTCTAGACGTAATAAATGGAAATTGCTGAAATTCAATAGGCTTCTTCGTTTCAGTAATCTGAATTATGCATATAAGTTTCAGAAAGATCGGATGATAACTTTTGATGTTAGAGCGTTCACAAGGATTAATAAAGTGAAACAAGGGCCATAACTCTAGACGTAATAAACGGGAATTGCTGAAATTCAATAGGCTTCTTCGTATCACTAATCTAAATCATGCATATAAATTTCACAAAGATCGGGTGATAACTTTTTGCGTTAGAGCGTTCACAATGATCAATAAAGTGAAACGTTCACAAGGATCAATAAAGTGAAACAAGGGCCATAATTCTAGACGTAAAAACGGAAATTGCCGAAATAATGCATATAAATTTCAGAAAGATCGGATGATAACTTTTGGCGTTAGAGCGTTCACAAGGTTCAATAAAGTGAAACAAGGGCCATAACTCTAGACGTAATAACCGGAAATTGCTGAAATTCAATAGGCTTCTTCGTTTTACTAATTTAAATAATGCATGTAAATGTCAGAAAGATCGGATGATAACTTTTGGAGTTAGAGCGTTCACAAGGTTCAATAAAGTGAAACAAGGGCCATAACTCTAAACGTAATAAACAGAAATGGTTGAAATTCAATAGGCTTCTTCGTTTCGCTAACTTAAATATTGCATATAAATTTCACAAAGATCGTATGTTAACTTTTGGCATTAGAGCCTTCACAAGGTTCAACAAAGTGAAACAAGGGCCATAACTCTAGACGTAGTAAACGGAAATTATTGAAATTAAATAGGCTTCTTCATTTCACTAATGTAAACAACATATATCAATTTGAAAACAATTGGATGATAACTTTTGGCGTTAGAGCATTCACAACAAAATATGGACGATGGACGGACGGACGGGGGCGACGGCAATATACGTCCACATTTCAATGTGGGCGTATAAAAATCGGACCAAAACTGACAGACAAAATGTCCGCTCCTCGTACTCAAATAGCGTATACATATAATATATCAATGTTGTGCTCACTCTAGAGGTCACAATTTTCTTCTGATTTTGATGAAACTTGAAATGTAAGTTTTTAACCAAACAATCTCGGTTCCTTTTGATATTTGCGCAATTTAGACTTTAACTTCCTGAATTATGACC